AGAGGATTATTATTATTAATAATAAATATAATATTAATATAATAAATAGAAGAGAGTAAATTAAGATTATTAAGATATACGCTATTAGAATTATAGATAGAGAGAATAAATATAAATAGAGGATAGCGAATTTAGTAAGAAAGGAGATAAAGGTTATAAAAGAAAATAAGAGGATATATATAAGAGAAATAAAAGAATAAGAGAATAGATTAAACGAGATTAATTTAGCTATAAAGAAGCTAAATATTTTTTAAAAGAGAAAAGATTCTTTAATTAGAATTATATTAATTGTTAAAAAAAAAGGAGTAGATCTTTATTAATTAATATTTTAATAAATAAATAAAGAATTAATAAAAAAAAAGATAAGGGCGCTATATATTAAGAGCTTTAGAAGTTAGATAAATAGCTTAAATATAGCTAGAATAATAATATTTTAAGATTAGAATTAATATAGGGGGATATTAATATAAAGATAGAAAATAAGAATTTAACTATAGCGAAATCCTAATATCGTTTCTTTATAAAGATCTACTATACTTATTTATTAATTATTTAAACTATTATAAAGACTATTAATACTTTAAATACTATTCTTTTAAGTATATTAAAATTCGCTACCCTTTTAATTAAGTAATTATAAAGTTATTTAATAATTTATATTTTTAAATACGGGCGAAGAAGAAATCTTCTAGCGAGATTCTTCGATAGCGACGATAATAGCGATATTACCTTTTTTAGATACGCTATAATTCTTATTATTAATATAATATTATAATATTATAGAGCTTTAATTTTAAAGAATATCGATAAAGAATTAAATAAATAATAATTAGATAGATAGTTTATTATCTAATAACTACTTAAGATTATATTTCTAGATAAAGAAGAAATCGTTAAATAATATAATTTGATTAGTTCGAGTACTCTTAAGTTATAAATATTAAATCCTAAATCGATATCGTAAAGACTTCTAATAAGTTTTAAATATCTTTCTCTATAGATTACTATATATAAGAAATTATTAGAGAGTTTAAACGGCGATAGTAAGATTTAATAATAGCGTAATATAGCTTTGAAAGTAGTTTTTAGATATATTAATAAGAGATATATACTTAATAAATCTTTTAAAGTATTACTATTAATTAGTAAAGATTTAAGCGATTAAATATTAATAGTTAAAAAATAAGGTTATAGCGTATTTTATAAACTTCGAAGTAAACTTTAGATAAAGCTTATTTATTTAAAAATAACGTCTATTTATTATATATATCTAAATAGAAATCTTCTATATTATTATTATTATTTATATCATCTAACTTCTAATTTAACTCTCTTCTTTCTTTTAATAAAATCTTATTTATAAGTAGATTATCGAGTAATTATTTATTATATATATTAACGGCCTTAGATATACTCGCTACGTTATTAAAGAATAAATCTAATACTACTTTTATATTAAATTAATTATTATCTTATTATATAAAGTCTACTTATAATTTTCTAGTATATTAAAATAAATTAATAGCGGGATTCTTTATCGAGTAATAATTATTCTAATAAATCTTAAAGTATAACTAGAACGACTTCTTAATATTCTTAAAAAATCGGGTATTAAGAGAGATATACTTAAATAGATAGTTGAAATAATTATAGATTCGCCGCGATCGTAGTAGATCTTCGCTAATAAAATATTTTTCTATTTAAATAAAATATAATATAATTACTTCGTCTTATAATTATATACTATTATTATATTATATAAATAAATACTTTTAATAAGTATAAAATAAGAGGGTATATTCTTAAGAATATCGTTATTTATTTTGAATTAGATAATACATTTAATATATACTTCGCTATTTACTATTATAAGAGAAATATTTAATTTAAAGAGATATTTATTACTTTATAGCTATTTATAAATAGTTATCTAACTTAAATTAATTATATCTTATACTCTATTATAATAATATTATTATTATTAAAAGTAATAACAATAATTTTATATATAAGTTAACTATAATATTATTTAGATAAATAATTATACTATTTACTTAATTTAATATTATTTATAATATAGTTTAAATTTCTACTAAATAGAATACTTTAATTAATTTATTCTCTCGCTTTAAATTTAATAGAATTATTAACTTAGATTTATAATTAAACGCTTTTAATTTACGTAAGAATTATTAAATTATATTTTACTTAAATTATAATTCTATAAGATAACTTTATTAAAATCTAATTAATAAGATAAGACGTAGCTTTTAAACGACGAAGATCTTCTATATCGAGTTTTATATACTACTAAAAATTATTATATTTCTTATTATCATTTAATTACTTATTAACTAAGTATTATATCTAATTAATTATTATATTTAAATTATATTTACTAAGATTTAAATATAAATATTTAATTAGTCTATATAAATATAAAATTTAAGATTTTCGAGATATTCTATTATCTACTACTATAATAAATAATTATTAATATTTATAAATTACGTAAAACGGCTAATATTAAAAATTATAATTTAATTATACTAAATCTATTACTCTATATTCTTATTTAATTCGATAAAACTTTACTAACGAGAATTATATTATTATTATTCTTATATACTTTCTTTTATCTTATATTTACTATATTTCTTTATTAAAATTATATAGTTTTAAACTAAATTCGAGAATAGCGATTTTAAATGATAATATATTATTAGATATTTAATTACGCTTTATAACGATTATCTAAAGCTATTTCTACTATTCTTAAAAATAAATTTATTTAGAAAAGAGATTACGCTATTTATTATCGCTATAAATAATAATATCTAATTTATTTATTTTTATAAAATCTATTTACTCGCTTCTCTATTAATAGATTATTATCGCTATTTAATTCGAATAAGATCTTATAAAATAATATATTTCTACGAGTAAAGATTTATAAATTAAATTTATTTATTTTTTAATTAGAGCTATCGAGTAAGTAGATAAGCGATCTTTAATAAGCGAACTTTAATAAGCGATATTTGAATTGCTTATACTTTAATAATTATAAAACTAAGTTTAATAACTCTTTTTTACTAAAAGACTTTATTTTATTCTATAATTTAAAAAAGAATATTGAAATTTTAATAGAGAATAAAAAAGTTATTCTAAAATCAAATAATATATATCTAATTAGAGCTATTCGACTATCGAGCGAACTTTAATAAGCGATATTTAAATTTCTTACGCTTTAATAATTATAAGACTAAATTTCAAAATTCTTAAAAATTCGAAAAGCATAAACAGCGCTTTAAAATTTAAAAGAAAATCTTAAAAATTTAATAGAAAATAAAAAAGTTATTCTATATATTAATAAGATATATCTATTTTTTTAATAAGAGACGCTAATTTATTTACCCGCGATAAGTTAGTCGATCTAGTTAAAAAGCGTAATAACTTTAAATTTATAATTAACTATATATATAGATTTAAGATTTTCAAGCTTAGCTCTATCTTATTCTTTTATATATATTAATTATATTAGATAGTAGTTTATATATATTTAATTATTCGAGTTATTATTTAGAATACTTCTTTTATAGAGAAATCGCTATTTTTACGAGAAATATCGACTTAATTAATAATAAATTCTAGCTATTTAATCGTTAGAGGTTTAATTTATTTTACTTATATATTAAGATATATCTAATCTATATTCTCGCTATATTATACTACTTCTAATATTTTTATATAATTTAAAATAAATAAATTCTTATTAGATATAAATTATTTATTTTAAAAGTTTTTTTAAAGCTAAGTTATATAGTAAACTACTATCTATATATTATTAAATCTTAAAAAATAATTAAATATTATTTAAAGTCTAACGAGTAAAGGCCTATGAATTAAATTTATAATATTTTTTTTTAAATTAGAGCTATCGAGTAAATAGATAAGCGATCTTTAATAAGCGAACTTAGATAAGCGATATTTGAATCTCTTACGCTTTAATAATTATAAGACTAAATTTAGAATTTTTTTATTTCTTTAATAGTTTACATTTCGTTTTATAATTTAAAAAAATATGAAAATTTTAATAGAAAATAAAAAAGTTATTCTAAAATTAAATAACATATATCTGTTTTTTAATTAGCATTATCTAATAAGCGATATTTTTTTAATAATTACGAACGCTAATTTATTTACTCGCGATAATTTAGTCGATCTAATTAAAGAGCGTAGTAACTCTAAATTTATAATTAACTATATATATAAATTTAAGATTTTCAAGCTTAGCTCTATCTTATTCTATTATATATACTAATTATATATATAGATTCTATAGAATATTAAGTAATATAATATTAATCGTTATAGCTTAATTAAAAACTAATAAGAAAGAGATATAATATATTTATAATAGAATAACTAAGATTATTATATTAAAAGAGTCTTAAATAAATCGTATTCCTTCTATTTTTTACTTTTTATTCTTATTTCTCTCGTTATAAAAAAAGGTTTTTATACTTTTCTCACTTACTTATATCTTATTTTTTTAATATTTTCTTATATTTAAACTTTAAATATTCTATCTTATATAGAGAGAGTTTTTTTTAGAGTTAAACTATATAATAAATTACTATTTATATACTACTAGGCCTTAGAACCTAGCTAATTATTATTTAGAACTTATTTATGCGTATAGTTTTTATAGGACGTTAAGCGAGACAGCACTAGCAACTACTAAAACATGGCAAAAAATTCAGCACGCATTTGAGCGCGGACTGCGATCCTCGTCGGGCTTCCCTCCATGCCCGTTGTTTCGGCAACGCCCTCTCCTGTTCATGTGCTGGCAGGGCAACTCACAGCATTGGTTTACTCAGTAATCTGCCACAGCCATTCTCGCCGCAAAGTTCGATATCACTCTACGCTATGGACGGAAGGTTCCTGCTCTTAGGGTGATGATGATTGTTGTTGTTTTTGGTGTTGTTAGACGCTTGGAGTCATGCTCTTTCGCTCGGGGCTAGAACCTTTTTCCGTGCTTCTCTTATAGAAATCAAATCATGCCCAGAAGGAGGCATAACCATTCTTGGACCCTTGATACCCCTATACTCGTCGATGCAATCTTTTGCATTCATGATTGGTTCACTCTCAAGCTTTCCCAGTCGGACTGTGATCCTGAAGGATTCGCCCCACTCGAGCAATGTGTATACAGTGCCAACGAATTGACACTCCAGAACATGATAGTCCTCGCCACCTATGTTCGAAATACCAGACCCTAAAGGTATAACTAGAAGAGCTTTCGGCGATGTATAACGATGTTGCAACAATAGGCAATTCTCCCACTGATCCAGAGCGGTCCGAATCTGCCAGTGAACTGATATGTGAAAGCTATAGGGCTGCAGCTTGTCTGTATCCCCTTTTTCTAACTCGCGGTACTTCCAGTATCCAGTTGTCGCGCCCTGTTCATCAACATAGACTCTCTCATACTCATCCGCATTGGTCCGTAGCTGAACATCCAACAAGCTGAATGGGCACCAAGACCATCCCCCTTTTTGGCTCATAGTAGCGTGGCCATGGTATAGGAAAGATTCTTCAATTACTACGAGACCTGCAATAACAGCGCGCGTAATGAGCGCAATGAAGTCAGACTTGGTTGTCTCTGGCTTATGTTCGGTAAGAAGCCCAGCGACTACCATAAGATCTCGTGGCCACGACGTGTTTCTTGTCCGAAGGACTTTCAAGATATCTCCAATATTGTTGAATTGTTGCTGACGTAGCTGCTCGACCAAGGACGATACTATCCAATGACCGCGGGAAGAATAAGCTGGATGACGAGCTAGGATATTTTCATCAAGATTCTTTAATTTGTAGCCGCTGGGATCATCATATATCACCCAAACTTTCCCTTTATGAGTCAGCCTCAGCTCCAGAGCAGTCCAGGCACGTGTGAACCATGGTGAGAGCACGAGAGCGAGACATGAGCGACCGCCGTCAGTCCAGGGAGACTGAACGATGGACTGATCGTGTATAATCGTGTGAGAGGCTTCTCTGAAATTCTCGTGCATCCGACTGATAGCTTTTTGTCGAGCTACCCGTTCCGACGGGATAGAAATTGTATCCCACCAAATTGCTCTGCACCCCAGGCTTATCGCTATATCTCTGAAGTAATTGAATAAGCACCGGTTTACGTGGCCATCGCCTTGTACTCCTCCGCCTGTGCCATCTGACCATACATGGGAGATTGCCATGTATGGCTCTTTTTTGAGTCGACAATATACGGACTTTTCTCGCCGTCGTCAAGCCACCATGTGATACATTCGCTCTGAACCCCTGAGGTTCGGAACCATAGTATATCATCGCAAGCTTTGTCTGAGCACTTGTGAAGCTGTTGAACACGGGTGCTATCAATACTGCTAAAACAGCAGACTTCTGCGGTGCAGGTATCATGTCCTGAACTCCGGTGCGATGTTTCGACATCAGACGAGTCTGTCCGATTTTGGCTTTGTAGCATTCTCATGAGAACAGGTAAGTCAACCTCTTCCCTCTCATGTCCCCCTACCGCCAGGTTCCAGAGCCGATTCATACAAATACCGTTTTTATGCGCTGTCTGAGTAGCTTCGACGATTTCTTGCCTAGATATGTGTGTTCGCAATGGTTGTTTACACTCGAATTCAGGTAGGATGAAGGAGTTGATAGTATTCAACCAGTTGATTAGCTCACAGAGGTCGAACAAGATCACAAACGCCTCCGGCTTCTCATGTCCTGGGTAATATACCTCCATCGATAAGGTGTGTATAATCGATCCCAAGTTCCAAGTCTCGACCTCTAGTCCTTTTTGGCTTGCGTTCAGTTGGCAAGAGACAACAACAAGGGCCCAATCGCGAAAGTGTTTCCATTCACAAGCAGGGGCAGGAGTATCTTCCATTTTTTGTTTTATAGAGCAGCAGATTTCGTTCCGGCACGCCTTGACTTGAGCTACGCTGCATATCTGCTGCAGCATATCTAACAAAGTCACGTCGGGATGCTTGTCTTTGTAGTGAGCAAAATTCGTATACGCGCCATTCTGTCAAATTAGTCGGTTTTATTCACTAGGTGGCATAAAACGGTAACATGTTCCTCACCTCTTCTTTGTAAACAATTTGAGGAATTTCGATAGGCTTTGTATCACTCTGAATGTTTTGACATGTATCGGATGTTTGCTCTCCTGAAGTCAACAATAATGGTTTGGCGCAATCAAACTTCTCGGGTGGCGGATAAACCCATTCATTAATCTCGGTGTCATATGTAGGCATCATCAAGATTTTTGACAGCGAGAAGCGGGTCAAGAATTCTTTCTCGCTCTTCTTTACTCGCTGCGCAATGTTGGAAGGTTGGGGAAAGAGTGAACACGTCTTCTCAATTAGACTAAATTACACAGCCTAGACGGCTTCACGGACCGCACTACATACCGGTGCGCAGAACACGACGTACGGGAAAAGGCTCGCCGATCATGGCCTCGGTCAGCTGTAACCAATCCCGGTCCCTCGAGCTGTATGCGACTACCCCGCCCTGCACGTCGGCATGCTGACTGGCTAGGTAGATACGGGCGCTTGTTGTGAGGTAAAGATTAAGGTTCTACAGTGGCACACAAGGCTTGATTAATAACTAACTATGAGTATATAAGTATAGGCCGATGAATTACATTTAGGATTTATAGCTTAACAGAGGTAAAAAAAAGTTCGATAGAGGTAAGTAGATATTAAGTATATATATCTCGTTCGAGATAAAAAGAATATACTTAGTATATATTAATATCTTATTAAAGATAAAGAAAATTTAATTTAATTTAGCGATATTAGCTCGCGTAAGATAACTAATTTATAAATTTATAAATTTTACTCTTAAATAAATATCTAGTATACGCTATAATATCTAAAATATTTATTTAATATATTTATAATACTATTATAATAAAATATATCTAATAATTAGATAGTATTAAAGTATTTATATATATAAATAAGTAATTTTATTAATTTTATTAAATACTAGTAATATAAGTAATAATAAATAAGATAACGTAAAAGTAAAGAATTTATTATTTATTATTTTACTCTTTATAAAATTAACTTCTATAATAAATCTATAGTATATAATATTAATATATATTAATTATATAATCTATAGTTATAAAGATTTATATTATTATTAATTAAAGTAATTAGCGTAAAGTAATAATTAAAAAAATTTAAGATTATATTATTATATTTAAGATTATATTATTATATTTAAACGAGTAAAAATTTATAAATAAATTTATAACTATTTTTTTTAATTAGAGCTATCGAGTAAATAGATAAGTAATCTTTAATAAGCGAACTTTAATAAGCGATATTTAAATTTCTTACGCTTTAATATTTATAAGATTAAATTTTAAAATTCTTTAAAATTCGAAAAGCGTAAATAGCGTTTCGAAATTTATAAAAAAAAAATTAAAATTCTAATAGAAAATAAAAAAGTTATTTCTATTATAAATAATATATATCTAGTTTTTAATAAGAGGTTTTAAGAGAGCTAGCGAGCTAATTTAGTCGATTTAATTAAAGAGCGTAATAACTCTAAATTTATAATTAACTATATATATAAATTTAAGATTTTTTAAATTAGCTCTATATTATTCTTTTATATATATTAATATTCTAGAATAAGTATAATTAAAATTCTTTATTTTATAAATATTAAATTGATATTTAATAGAGAAAACTATAAGAGTATTTAAGAGATAATTTATTAATATATATTAATAATAAACTTTATTATATTTAATTTAGATATATATTAATTATTTTAAAATTTAATAAAATTTAATTATTTAAAAAAAGTAAGTACTTAAATATAATAAAAGTAAATATTATTATTATATTTACGCTATGTAACGAAATAAGAGATCTTAACGAAGTTTTTAGAGAGATCGAGATTAGGATAAGGTTTCGAGTCGAGATTTCGAGATTTCTCGAAACTCTAACCTCGTTTTAACTCGGAAGTAAGATTTTAAAAAATATTTTATTATTTTAATAAACTCTAAGTATCTCTAAATAACTCCTCTAAATTTTAATAAAATATATTAAAAATAGAATAAAATAGAGTATAAAATACGATATCTTAGTTTAAATAAGAGTATAAGATATAGTTATTTTGAAAGAGAATAAGATATTTAAGATTAAGACGTTATAAAGACGCTATAAAGATATTATAAAGGCGTTATTAAGATAATAATCTCGAGTTAATTAAATTAAACGCTTAACGAGAGTAATCTAAATCGACCTTATCTCGTTAAAACTCTATCTCGAAGCGAAATAATATTAAGTATCTAAAATCTCGTTTTACTTTACTTCGTTACGTAGTATAATAATATTTATTAAATTATAATTACTCTATATTAAATATATAATTAAATTAAAATTATAGATATTAATAATCTTTAATAAATAAATATTTATTTATTTTACTCTTATTAAATTAAAAAGTATCTTAAAATAATAATTAAAATTAATATATTTTATTTTCTATAAATTAATAAATATAAAATCTATATTATATAAATCTATAATCGAGTATTATAATATAATAAAGTTTTTATTTAAAACATTTAAATTAAAAAATATAAAGATATATTTAAAATCTATAGATTATCTTTTTTAACTATTTATAATATAATAATTTAAAGTTATAATATTAAATAAGATATATTTATAATTATATATATAAATCTTAATTTATTTATAAAGATTAATCTAATTTAAATTATAATTCTTATAAGAGAATTATAGTTATATAGATTATTTAATATAATAATATAAATAATATAATAGATATTTATATTATTATTTTAATTCTTTATTTAATATATATTATATTTATTAGAATCGATATAGATATAATATTAATATAGATATATTAAATAAGATAACTAAGATATCGAACTATATAGATGAAAAGAAGATATAATATAATAGAGAATATCTTCGTTAAGGCTCGCTAGTTATAGAGCTAAGAGATATATTAAAAATACGCTTATAATATTATTCCCTCTCTTTATTAAATTATATTTTATAATTAGTAAGTAAAAAGATAGAAAAATAAGTATATATATACGCTTAATATCTAAAAAATAATAAAAGTAGTAAAGAAATAATAGTATCTAGAATCTTCTAATGTAATATCTTTTTTTAAACGCGATATTAATAATAATAATAGCTCTTTTTAATTATATTATAGCGATATTATTAATTAAGATATAGATATATATAGAGAGTTTAATTAGAAGAAAATTAATATAATATAGCGAAAATAATATTTATAGATATAGAGATAAATAATAATAATTTTCGAATCTATATCTAAGCGAATAAAATATCGATAAAATAATACGACGTAATTAGTCGAGAGCTCTTAAATCGAATTAAGCTATAAATATTAAAAACTCTAATTTAATATTAAGTAAGTTTCTTTATAGAATATTATATAATCGATATTAATAAAGATTATTAACGACGATAGTAAGATTTATAGATAATATATTATAACTTTAAAATATAAATAAATATCTATTAGTAAGAAAATTCTACGCGAAAGACTCTATATAGTATAATTTGTAATCGATATAAATCTAAGGGATCGATTTTTAACTTTAAAAAAATAAGGCTATTATAAAGATATCGAACGATTTTAATTTAATTAAAAATAGGGTATTCGAGATAGTTTTAAAATCTTATTAATTAATTCTTTATAGATAAGGCTCTTCGAAATATCGCTTATAGAAGTCGTCTATTAGATTTTAGTAATTTTCGAATTTATCGCTATTTATATTATATTAAATAAGATTATTATCGAGATTTTTTTATTTAACTTTATATTTAAAACGACTATAGATTAATTTAAAGCTAAATATTTCTTTAATAATCTATTTAATTTAATTATTAATAGTGATATATTTTAATAAAAAGTTTATTTATTTTAATAAGAGATTATTTATTATAAGACTTAAGAGATTAAGATAAAAAATATTATAGATTCTTATAATTAA